AGACAGGAGAAATTTACTAAACTTGTTTTTCTAACGTTATCATTATAATAGGTAATCCTTGACTGACAACAGTTCACTTAGTGATTCGTTTGAAGTTACAATGGCATTGAAAAAAAGTGATGTATGAGCATTCTTTAAAGTTACGACCATAGCAGTATCCCCATCATCACATGGTCAAAATTCAGATGCTTTGCAACTGATTCATATTTACAATGGTTGCAGTCATGTGATCACCTTTTTCAATCTTCTGAAAAGCAAAGTCATTGGGGAAACCAGATTGACTTAACATTTGTATTACTAATTTAACAACTGCAGTGATTCACTTAACAAATGTGGCAAGAAAAGTTGTAAAATGGGGCAAAACTCACAACAAATTTCTCATTAGCAACATAAGTTTTGGGCTCAGTTGTGGTCATACATTGAGGATACCTGTATTTATGTTGCTGTGGGTAATCATTGTCCCTAATTTGCAGATATTTAAAACCTTAACTGAATTATCTGAATGCATCTCTCATTTCTCATTACCATTTGATCTGACCAATATGTGCATTTGCAAACTGAGTCTCATCCATCATGAATCAAATGCAGTGCACTCTGATTTTTGTCAAAATGATTGTTTTTTTTTTAAATCCATGTCTTTTTGAATTTCTGTTTAAGTAGGATATGAATCAGTGGTGGGATTCAAATATTTATACTACTGGTTCTGTGGGCGTGGCTTGGTGGCTGTGGCAGGGGAAGGAAACTGTAAAATCTCCAGTCAGAGGTGGTATTTCCCAGTTCTCCAAACTACTCAAAATTTCCGCTACCGGTTTTCCAGAACTGATCAGAACCTGCCGAATACCACCTCTGATATGGGTAGTAGTCAAGTTGTCTTATCATGGAGGCTGAGACCAGTTACTAATTCGGCATTCAGTGCCATATATCAGCCAGTCTTACCTAATCTGGCAATTTTAGCTGTATTGGAATGGCCACTTGGAGTTCTGGGAATTGTCGTCCCAGTGCACCTGAATTGCATCAAGTGAGGGAAACTGGCTAAACTTTAGATTGTTTTGCTTAAATGGAAGACTACTGAAGACAGAATGTCATGTTGAAACTATTTCAGAATTTGTACTTTTAGTACAAATTAAACTAATTTGTAGTTTAGAAAAAAAGAACATTTGACATATGTCTCTTCTTGGCAAAGAAACAAGTTCTAATACTGGTAGGTACTCTAGATTTTCTTTAACTTTTTTCATAAAAATATTCACAGGTCTACCCCCAGGTGCTAATTGCTTGTATACTGTTTTTTTGCAAAAGCTTAAGGACACCTTGAATAGTAACAGGTGCAGTTAAGCATTAATTACTCTCCCAAGTTCCATGTTTTCATTACACAATGACTGCCTGTGACAAAGCTCTCAAAAACAGGGAAGGACAAGTATCTCCATGTCAAAGTCTTTACCAAGACAGCAAAATGAACTTAGTCATAGACTAAGACTAAATCCTCCCCAACAAGTAAAGCTAATTACTTTACTGGGGACAGGGATCAGCAGAAAATAAATACACTACTATAATATTATAAATATACTAAAAGATAGCTAACTTTCATCATCCTTTCTTGGCTTAAATGTTTATTAACACTGGTGGTAGAATGGTTATCTATAGCTTTTCTCTCAACACCTAACCATTTTTCCCCACTTTGAAAGATTAAGAATTGAACACATATGATAGAAATAGTGAATTTTGTTGGACGTATAGTTCTACAAACACACCAAAGGCAATAGATATGCTGACACCTCGTGGTAGTTATCACAGCCAGTAGAAAATCATCAGCCAATCATTACTGCATCAATGGGTGAAAGGTTTGACCCTTGTGTTTAACCACCTCTCTAAACTAACTCCCGGCTCTATACTCTGCTTTTCCTAGCCAGGCCAGCAGAAGACCTGCCCACCATAAGTGGGAGTACTCTCAAAACTTGCTCCAGGCTTCGCTCTAAGTTGACACAAGCTTTGCTCTGGGTTTTGCTCCTTGCCTTCCCTATGTAACCTCACTGTGGGTTTATGGAAGACTAAGTTTAAGTAAAAATTGTTGTGATCTTTGCCCATGCTACCCACAATCTCACCAATGATCCATGAGTCACAGTTTGGGATCCTCCTTATTTTATGCTTACCCTCCATCTTGATATTATATTGTATGTACTATGAATATGCATTGGATTTAGATGAATTATGAATCCCAAGTTAAATTAGGCTTTCACATAGAATCAGGAGTTGCTCCAGTTATAGCAAAGCTTCTCCAAAGCAGACTGAATCTGAAGTTGAATCTTTTGAACCTTTAATAGCGATTCACAGCTTGGAGACAGGGGACAAGATGAGAAAGAGGCCGATATAGACTGTATGGCTGCAGAAAAGGGGGGAAAACCTATTTCTCTCTAACTATATAATGAAAATTCCAGGATCGGAAAAGTGCTTGCCTGCACACACCCTTTATATTTAGTTGCATGCTTCTGCCTCATAATCAATATAAAAGCTTTCATAAGATTGATAAATTTTGAAACTCCATTCTCTCTTATAACTTGTTGCAAGTTAAATACTAGCAACATTGGATCGTATCAGCACTATGTAGCTGGCGTTATGGCAACCAAATTTAAGACTCATTCTCCATCCTACCTCTTCCATATGTAACAGGTCCTGCAATGCCCACATAGCTCAGGAAACAGTCCCCAGTGTGGAAAGCATTTGGGTTTGCCCAGAGGTGGGCTGCTGATGGTTTGGACCAGTTCGCCTGTACCTGTAGTTCCAACCACCGGCTGGGCCCACCCACCCACCCCGGTGCTATCCCATCCTATATATTTCCCTCTCTGGCTCACTCATCCCACCCATGCAGCCCAACTGATTTCTGTACCTCACCCGCTCTACTCACCACAGCTGCCTGAGAAGGTGTGCTGGAAACTGTGTGCATGAAATCGCTGTGTGTTTGAAGCGACATGCTCACATTTTGCTAAACCGAACTAGGTTCTGCACTAGGTGAACCAGTTGTTAAATTATGTGAAGTCCACCTCTGGGTTTGCCCTTATGCCTTCCATGCAAAATTAATTCAGTTTAGCATAGGCAACTGCGGGCGTAAATGACAAAAGTTATGTAAGGGGCAGAGATTCCATCAAGGTATCATAACATAAGTTACTTTGATGGACACTCAGCTTACTGCAGGTCTTCTCTGCATTGGATTAGGTCTACCAAGACTTGGAGAATGACTTCCAAGTCTACCAAATTAGGATCAGCTGAAGCTTTTAGAGTCTAAGATTTGATAGTTCCTTTTATAATACACAATTATGATTAGATAGACACTAGCCATGAGTTCTGGGATTTTGCATTCCCCAAAGGCCTAGAGGAAATCAACATGGAGAAGGCTTACCAAAGGTATACTTCAGTCCAGCAACTCTTCCTAAAGCTACAAGTCAAAGCAAATTTCTGAACAATATTCTCAAGCTAATAACCTCAAATGTGTACCTCATAGTAGAACAAGATACACGGGGAAGGCTATGCTAGAGAAGTTTAGAGTGTATATCTTATCATTTGATGTATGTTGACTTACTGTCAACTCATAGATTCTGTTTAATATCTTTTACCCAAGGTAAGTCTCAATATGTGACAGCACCTGGTTAATCTCTTCTGAGCTTGGAAATGAAACTGAGCCAAGCCTTATTCAGGACCTGAATCAGACAGTTGCAGAGAGTACCTAGCTATAGTTTAGACAGAGAAGTTGAAAAAATATTGATAGATGACAGTGACAAACTATTTGCTTACTGTTGCCAAGAAAATTAAAGGGATCTGTTCAGTGAGTTTTCAATCAAACTTAACTTGAAGGACTTAACTTAGCCAAATCCACCTTTTAGCCAATGTGAAAAGCTACACATTAATGTAAGTAGACTAGCAGAAACTGCTATAGATATATTTCCCATGATCACGATCTGGCCTCTTGAATCATTTTTGTACCAAAGTTTGTCAATACTAGACCAAAAATAGCTAGTCTACTGTAATTAATTGTGATCAGGGAGTCACTAAAAAAGGAACCAAGATATCTCAATGGATTGGTCACTAAAGTGATGATGAGGCCCACATTTTATTCTGTGAATCTGGGACACTCGTAAGTTACCACCAAACCTAAGGTGTGAAATGCATCAATGTATGTCTTACTATGGAATTTGAGTAAAACCCTCATATATTCTGAGATAGTTATCACTTTGATAAATCTAATCTGTTTCTTTGTAACCTGCATTCTCACCTTTCTATGTATAAACAGATAATAAAATCACTCTTCTTCTGTATGATTCTTTCTCTCACAGACTTGATATATATCCAAAGAAAACAGGGAGGAAATGGTTCAGAAGAAGCAATGATGTAATAATGTAATCTTGGAGAGAATATGAAATGAGAATTCATTATATGGTTTTGCAATGAGCATTCAGATCCCTTTTCACAGAGTTGATTTAATTAAGAATGGTGAAAATTTAGCATAAAGAGATAGATGCTGGTTTACTGGTGTGCAACATAGCATCCGAAAGAAGAATATAAAGCATGAAAGTAAGAGAAATGGAGGATGGGAAACACAAGATTTTCATGGCAATAGTTAGAAGAAGATAAATGTTCAACTGGATTATGAATGTTTGTGTTGTTTTTGTTTCTTCCCCCACATTTTGTGTTGCTGTTGTTTATTCAAATAAATTCTACAAGAGGAACATGGGAGACATTCATGCTACTTAGGGAGAGCAGTGAGAATACATTTCCTTGGCCTATGGATTCTCCAGGCCTTTGAGTCTCCTCCTTTATCCCTACAGGCTGACATGTGGGAACAGTTCCGTGGCAAGTCTCCGTAGCCCTTAGAAACATGTGGCTTCTTCTCAGAGTTTGCAGGAGAGCGAGAGACTGGTGGTTCCATTTGCTTCTTCCTCACACGACACCTCAAGGGTACCTCAGGTGTAGCTTTGTCATTTCCTAGAGTTCTCTCTTGCACACCACAGAGATCACACGGCAGTCTCTAGATCCTCATGGGGCACTACTGGATGATTCTGATGACTCTCCAAGTAGGAGGCTAAATCTGGATCCCCAGCCTGCTGGGCCCTGTCTCGAGGTGTCTTATCCTAGAATGGTAAGGTAGAAGAGAGAGAGAGGGAGGAAGGGAGGGTGGGAGGGTGGGAAGGAGGGAGAGAGAGGGAGAGAGGGAGAGGGAGAGAGAGAAACCCCCAGTAATTAGAAAGGGGGAACCAACATGTACAGGATGTTGAGCATACAGATTCATTCCCTTAGTCAGGAATGGGATCTGACCAGTATAACTACCAGTTCTATCGCTCTGCATTGCGCGCGCAAGTGCAATTTTTGACCTGCTGAGCTGCAGCACTTTTTCCTGCTTTTTCAACCACAGTTGTGTTGCACAAAGCAGCTGCGGTTGAAAATGCAGGAAATAAAGGTCAGGTAAGTGCTTGGGAGGGCAGGTGGGCCAAAACAGCAGCAGACATAGAACCAGTTCTATGTATATTTTCTGTTTGCTGCTTTTCATAGCAACCGGTTCTACAGAAGTGGACAGAACCGGTAGAATCCCACCCCTGCCCTTAGTCCTTTATTTGACTGAATATGAATTCATTTTTTAAAGTGAATATTGAAAACACAGTTACCTTTAACAATTCTGTCAAGTTGTTCTGATGGGCCACCATATATAAAGCTCCAATGAGCTTTGTTTTGATGGATTCTAAGTGTGAAGTCCTGTTTTAAATCAACACTTAAACCAATGAATCTTTGAATGCTACAACCTAACAATATTTTCTTCTAGTCTTAAACTGATTAGTTACCAAGAACTATGCAGTGGCCTCCAAATTAAAATTAAAAACATCTTCACTGGTATAGGAACCACATGAAATCCCATCATTTCAATTCTTGTGGCATTTCAAGATCATATAACCCTTTTAAAATGCTGATTTACCAGCTGGCTATATTGCTCATACACTGTGGTTTTACATTACTTATATTCTTGTAGATTCCATGGCTTTGACTACTGTCAAGAGCCAACTTGAAATTGCTGATAGCAAGTGACAAACGATAGGTAAATAAAACCAGCAGGGCTTCTGTCCGAGTGAACACAGTGAAAGTGTGCTGAAAAACAAGCAAGCACAGAGGCTCTCAACGTATTTGCAAAGGCATCGCCTGGGTTGGCTCATATTAATTTCCCTTGCACACACAACTATTAAAATGGATTTGTTTGGTTTGGTTTGGTTACCTTGGAATCCATTTGCCTCAACGATGCCCCTGCCTCTACCAGCAACTGACAGATGCCACGGTGGCGTTGGTAAGCTGCCTTGTGCAATGCTGTCTCACCCCTGGGTGTTTAATGGGAACAAAAAAACTATTAATATAATGAATTACATTCAAAGGACATAATTTTGAGGGTTGCTGACACAGGCACATTTTCTTAATTTGTCCTCTAGATCTTTGGTAGAGCAGAATATGGTCTTCAGAGTGCTCAAAGCTTTCATTTTAGTTTTGCTTTGCTTTATTGCCATGCTTAAAGCAACGTACTGAATATTAAGTTGTTACCCACACTGAGGTCCAATTTTAAATCACTTACATGATTGGATTTTTCCCCTACACCCCTGCCCATTTGGATAAATTCCCTTGAAGAGTAAATTTCCTTCTCTTTCATTCCCAGAATCTGAACAATAAAATTCTTTGGCTTCAAACAGTGGAGTATGCTTACATGTGTGTGCTTTAAAAACTTTAAAGCAGACATCAATATTTATGTTGTATAATTCCCTAGATTTTGGAACTAGATTTTGGAAATATTATGTCATCTCTGAAGATATATACACTCTAAAACCTGGGTGTTAACATTTAAACAAATATGAAGATGTTTTCTTCCATTTTGGGGGGGGCTTGGGCTTAAAACCAAAGGATTTAGCAGAGATTGCAAATACAAGCTGTGATTCTCACAGGCTGCCTAATGGTGGATCTTTATGTTCTTACTGTAGAAAGAAATTAATTCTATCTAGAAGCTAAAACATGCAGGTATAGATTAATTAGATCCCAACCACATCTAGAACTCTAGATATCTTAAGGATTTTTTTTTCCTTGCAGCACCATTAAATTTTCACTAATCTGCTTATTCTTTTCAAATGCTTTTAGACTAGTATTATGCCAATCTGTTCACTTTCCAACAATTTGCCCAATTTGAAATTATGAATTATTAGTGCAAGATGATAGCTTAGAGCGGTCTATAAAGCTTTGTATAGATTTTTTTGGTTTTTTTACTTAATGGTAGCCCGCAGCTCATATACTGCTTCACTGTAATGTGTAAGCCTTTTCCCTCAGCTTCTTCTAGACAAGCATCACCTGATAGAATCATATTGGTAACTGATCAATAGGGAAGAATCAAATGATCATTCTGAGGCTCAATAAGTTGAATGGAAGGGACCAATCACCCCCCTACAAAGGAGTATGCAAACTTGAAAAAAAAATTAAACTGAAATTTAAATGCAGATGTTTTTTCTCAATATAAGCCAATGTCCTTACTTCTCTCTAAGAATTTTTACAAAATTGCTTTTAATCCCCTAAATGAGATAGGAGGAAGCTCACCTTCTGCATAAAAGGATAAAACGTGGATTTGACCCAGTTTCAGGGGTGGGCTGATACATGTTCACCCGTAGCTAATGTTATGGAAGTTCAGCAAATCGCTAAATCCCACCCCTGGCTGGCCCCACACACCCCACCACGCCCCTCCCCTCCCCTCCCAGGAGTCTCCATGTGGCCCGTTTTGGATACGAGGTAAGTGCAGCACCCACACAGAGGCCTGAGAGAGTGAAAAACGGGCCTCCCAGAGGTTTTGGAAGGCTGGAAATGGGCCTGTTTCTGGCCTCCAGAGTGCTTCTGGAGCCCGGGGGAGGCCGTTTTCTCCCTCCCAGAGGCCTGGGGAAGGCAAAAACAGCTCCCCTGCTGTGGTGCAGGAGGCCAACTAGGCCACACCCACTATGGCCACACCCACCCAGCAACTGGGCAGAGAACAGGTTGCTGAAATTTTTGAAGCCCACCCTTGCCCAGTATTGATTTGAACTTCAGCTTTCATTACTACTTGTCGTGTTGGCTAGAACTGAAAGGTTTTTTTTTTTATCTTTCTCTTTTAGATTTGAAGAGGAAAATCAAAACAAAAACCCTAATGTATAGTGAACTTTCATGTATCTAATGATGTCCTCCAAGTAATCACTTTGGATTTGGTAGATAGGACTGTAATACTTGCTGTGGTGGGAAGGGGGAAAGGGGTTCAGAAGACAACTATGGATTTCAGAACTTCATGAGTTTTAAAAGGCATACAACATAGTCTTTAAACTGGAATGGAAAGGCTGAAGTTGTGTAAATCAACACATTAAATTGTTATTTTATGCTTCATCCTACATGACATTGCTTCGGTTTTCTATGCAACTAAAAGTAAACTGGAATGAAAATATGAGAAGAGGAGCTGAGCGAGCAAGACTTACGTTTCGCTATCTGTCATATCCAGTAACTCAGAAGGACCTACAAAAGAAAGTAAAACAGATGATGCTCTTGTTTTCTACTGGATGTTGAATCTGTCCCTCATCCCGCTCCCCCAGAAATTTTCTTCTTGTGTGAAAGACTCTATTGTTTTGTTTTTTTGTATTTAGCTCATCCTCAGAGTACTTTAATGTTTTTTCAGGGATTTTTTTGAGTCTGTCTTATTACTGGAGATGGCTGAGGATGCAATACTTAATGTTTTTCTCTACAAGTTCTGTAATCATTGTTGCTACCCATACTTCCCTTTCTTGAAAAGCCCTCTTGAGATTGAATTGAATTATGGGAGGCAGCAGAATTATGGTGAAATGCTGATATAACGAAACAGGATATTCTCTTACAATAAGCTATACTGCTCATAATAACAGTGATATTTTTCTTCTCCTTTTGGAAGGAAGGGGGAGCAAACAATTTCTCCCAGCTGAATCAATTTAGAAAGTGCATAAGATATTTTTACCCCATCACCCTCTAGATTCAACTTCAGAGACAAAAGGAAGAATTTCATTCCCTTTCTCACCCAGTAAAAATTGTGTCTCAATCTTGCGTTGGGCCAGGGTCCCCCAAGGGTAGATGGGAGTATCCATTGTTGTTATTGTTATTATTAGTAGCCGTATCACCAACGATATTATTATTAAAGTAGTATTTATTAAATTATTTTCATATAATAAATCTTTGGGGGTTGATGAACAATCTGAAACTTCATACAGGTGTAGGGGATCTTTGCCTTAGACCAGGGGTCTCCAATCTTGACCACTTGAAGACTTGCAGGCTTCAACTCCCAGAATTCTGGGAGTTGAAGTCCACAAGTCTTCAAGTGGCCAAGGTTGGAGACCCCTGCCTTAGACGATTGACAGAGTACAAAGATGAACCGGCCCTTTTCCAACATATCCTTGTAGAAAGAATGTGATATGAGAAGTAATTGTAGAGAAGAAATAACTTATGAGTGAGATAGTGCTTTGCATGCTGCAGTTCTTGGTCCAACATCTCCAGTTGGACAACAGGTTAAAAGACTCAGGACAATCTATGGCCTGATTCTAGCTAGAATAGCAATGGAGAAAATATATCTATGTGTTTGCTAAGAGTCAAAACTGACTTAATAGCAATAGCATTTAGACTTACAGTGCTTTACAGCCCTCTCTAAGTGTTGTACAGAATCGGCATCTTGCCCCCAACAATCTGGGTCCTCATTTTATCCACTTCAGAAGGATGGAAGGATGAGTCAACCAGAAGCCTGGTGAGATTCAAACTGCCAAATTTCAATCAGCTGGCAGTCAGAAGAAGTAGCCTGCAGGACTGCATTCTAACCACTGCCACACCGTGCCTCATATAGTAGTATATAAGACTGTTTCATATAATCTTGTAGAAATGCAACATATCCTAACCACTGTACCACCTTGGCTCATAATAGCACATAATCGGTCAAAATTGATCAACAATAGCAAAAAAAATTTTTTTGTGTCTTTATACTCCCAGAGTTTGGTAATAAGGAAGCAGCAAATAATTTATAACAACAATATCAGTAAAAACTGTAAATCAACATTCTTTATAACCTCCTGAATGTACTAAAGACTGAACAGGCCCAAACTAAGGGGGTGACCATCTAAAGATTAAGAGAAAATAAGAGGGGAACCAAAAAGAAAATAAAGTAGGGAGGGGTTAATCGTGAACTGCTAGACTTATTCAATGTTATGGGCCTCCAAATAAGCATTCTCCTTCTAATTTTCTGTCCCTCAGAGCTGCTGTTTGCTGCCAGCTAATGATTCCAGATCCCCCTCCGGCATAGAACAATAGCTACACAGATGTGGGAAAGGCTGGCACTGGAAAAGCAAATGCTACTGTCCTTCTGCCACAGCAGGGAGCTGGCTGTCTTAGCAAGGGACAAGTGAGAAAAGAAAAAGAAAGGGGCCTGGTAGAGGGAGAGAGAGAGAGTGCGCCAACTAACCCAAGGCAAGTCCAAAAGGGAAATGCATCAGTGAGATTTCCATCAAGCAAAACAGCAGGGAGGGAAAGTAAAATAAAACAAGAGGGAGGGTGGGAAGGAAGGAAGGAGATGCAAGGAGGCAAAGAAATAAATAAAGGGCTCTGGGAAATCAAGAGGAAATAATGGGGGGCACTCTCACTTGAAAAGAACTCAAACGTGGGTAGTATTGGAGAGGATGCCCCATGGGAACCACAGTCTGCCCTTAATGTCTCTAATCATCCATCTCTTTCCAATTATTAACTCCTTTCTCCTCCCCCTGCCTTCAGTTGCTCAAGCCAACACATAGGCTGGTGGTTTCCCAGGGTGCAAATGAACTTGAGTTTCTATACCGTTGCTTCTACATGTGAGAAAGCTGAGAATGGGGAAAGATGGCAGATAGCTCATCCTTCTCTGAGTTCATAGTAAGAGGACAGAGAAAGCAAACATGTCAAGTCTTTGTGGAATTTTCCAACTAAAGGGCTCCATGACTGCCATTCTCTCCTTCCCAAACAATCCCGCCCTCTGTATTAGATGTCAAACAAAGAGATGTTTACTCTGATCCTTTTACATGCAACCAATCTATTTTCTTTTGTAACCTTCTTAACACATATGAACATATGTATGATTAATACACAAACAGATGGGTGGGAGAGGACAGGCCTGAAAGAACTCTGAAGTCGACTAGGGCAGCATGATAGCAATAATCATACATATTCCATAAACCATTCAGGAAACACTATGGCTAAATAAACATTTAGTACTATGATCCGTGAGGAAAACATGTAAATAAGTATAGAAGTTAAGATTGAGATTGAGAAAGAGACATACCATCCATAGGGGTGAGAAGAGAGAGAGAAATTTAAATTGAGACTGAAATTCAGGACATGGTTCTAGTCATTATTAAGCACTTGGAAAATCTTCTGGTTGTAACGGTAAAATATCAAATGTAAATTCTATCATCCACCATTTACCACGACTGTTATTCCATTTTCTGTTCCAGATTTTCAAATGAAAGGGAGCATATGTATGCTGGAAAAGGGCCCACTCAGCTTTTTTCAACCACACTGTAAAGATCTCTGTAAAACTATTTCTATACTAGCCATATTAGAAAGGGGCGAAAAAAATCAAACAAAATTTCTTCTTTACTTCCAGCCTCAGGAATCTGATCTATCTGAGAAATGTGAGACAGTCTCCTCTATTTATATATAACTCCTCAGAGAACTAATTCATAAAACAGGCTCAGAGTGAGAAACAAATAAGCAATAGATTTGACAAGATGATTATCCACTCCTTTAAATGCACCCATATAGTAGTAAGTGAAACAGGATGAATAATTCACTCACCGTGTTCTATAATGTATTTTACAATCTCACCATGCCCAGTCTTTGCTGCATGATGAAGCAAGGAACAATGGTCAGGTCCCCGGATTAATAAATTAGCTCCTTTTTTACAGCATTCTACAAACTGGAATAGAGAGGGGAGGGGAAATGTAATTATTCAAAATCATGATTTCATTTCAGTAATTATCATAAATGAGTAGTGACAGAAGAGAATATTTGTAGCTCAGGGCTGGATCGTGGGGTCCTTGTGTCTCTCTGAGCTTAGCTGCTGCTTCCTTCAGACTTTCATTAGCCAACTAGGTAACATCATCAATGCTGGCCTAAATGAATGTACTCAGCTGCCACCCTATCAAATGCAGCCAAGTACAGATTCCTAGAGAGAGAGAGAAAAGACAAGCTGCTGGTGCAGGATGGAATGAAAGAGCATTTTAAGTTTATTTTTCTTTGGTTGGCCTTTATTGTCTTTTCACTTGCTAAGATCAGTCAAGGTCAAAGGTATAATCCCCTAACCTAACTAGAAATTTCTTCTTTTTTAATCCAAGATCAAAATGCATATTGGTTTACAGTGCATATGGCAGCCTTTTCCAACCTAGTCTTGAGAAGGTGGCCACTCAAGGTGAGAATAGTTAGATGCAACAATCTCAACATTTCTCAAAAGTTGTAGGTTGGGGAAATCTGTGAATGATGGTTTGGATAGATTTTGTAGGGTGATAATCTGTTGATTGAACAGACCATTTACTCAGAGTTATAGATCAGGGCAATGAATGAGAAGGCCTCAGTCAAGCATTAGCAAGACTGTAGAGCTGAGAAAAATAACAACATTCCTAACCTATGCACTGGACAACCTGTCTGAAACAAAAAAAAATGCAAAATTTACATTGGCAAAAAAAGAACATCTGAAATAAGTGTGATCTGCCAGCCAGAAAAATATATCCTGTGAATCGAGCTTCAACTGCTACAAAACGAAGGATAATTATTGGGGGGGTGGGAGTGGAATCATCTCCCTTTTTCACTCTGACATTAGAGGATACAGATTAGACTTAATATTCCTGGAACCTGTTTAATAACTGAACTGCATTCATAGCAAATACTGAAATTACAATGAAATGCAAAGGGAAGCAGATAATGTACCATTAGTTTGGTCATATATCAAATCATGAGAGAACAGACTGGTGCACTTTGCTTATTCTGGCAGCTACTTGAATCTAACCTAAATTCTTATGCTCATGATGGTCTTTGAAGTTGCAATGTTACTAAAATTCCAAGTTGTTTGTGATTGTTCATTAAGTGTTAGCTTTTTTTTAAGATTAGAAAGGAATTTCAGAATAAAGAAATGAAATCCTTTCAAACAGAGGTTGGCACTTCAATGGGATTGCACTCCAAAATATAGGTAGGGGCAGCCCAAATAACTGAGCAATGTTAAGAGACATAAAAGAACTAGATTGGATGTTGTTGTTTAGTCACATTGAATGTATTGATATGATTATTCTTGTGTATCTATTGACTAAGCCGCTTGGGTGTAATGGTTAAGATACGAAGCTGGAAATCAGTAAACTGAGTTCTTGTCCTGCTTTAGGCATGAAGCCCGCTGGGTGTCTGAACTAGTTATGTACTCTCTATCCTAGGAAGGAGCAACGGCAAACCACTTCCCAAAATAGTTCCAAGAAAAGTACAGGAATTTGTCCAAGAAGTTGCCAGAAAATAAGATTGTCTCAAAAGTTAACAACAACAAATATAATTCTACTTGATCACATAAAACAAAATAGTAAAAAAAAAAAAAAAGGAAAGACTCTGAAGGTTCAGCCAAGACTTTATTAGACATCATGCAGCCCTGTATAGAATGGCAACAAAGAATGAGAAGAATTACAAAAGTAACAAAACATAAGCCTTATAGGAAATGTATTACTCAATTTAGGATCATACTCATCACAGGACCTTTCATTCCAATCAGGTGCATTAACAGCACACAATGTGTCCTTGCAAAACTGAAGTTAATTTGCATTTGTTAACCATCTTTATCAAAGCCCTGGATGTTTTTAAAGGAGGCTTCCTGTTTGCTGCCAAATGCTTTTCCTAATAGATGTGGTTGTATGTTGCCATGGTGACTGAACTGGGAGAGGTTGGGGACAATTTCTCACTGGCTCAGACAGAAGACTAGAGAGAGTGAGAAAACTGAGGTAACCCTAGTTAGCATCCTCCAGGTTGTTTATTGAATTTATATCTAGCAGTATCTGAAAGTCAAGTTTATCTGGAAAAGGTAGTTGTTTAAGAGGCATAAGGTTAAATCAATTTTACAAAAGTACAACCTGTAATTCTGAGATGCCCTCTTGATGGGGAAAAAATAGGTAGAAGAAAATGTTTCATTCTTCCTGTAGGAAGCAAGCCAAAAAAATCCTAAAATTATTCTAACTCTAGACAGGGGAAACTAAAGCAGAGCAAAGGAACAGAATAAAGAAGGGCATCCTTTGCTTACTATCACTATTCTAAAGCCCACTAGTGGTTGCTGGCTAAAAGACCCAAGGAATCAATGTTTCTGAAGCTATATTCCAAAATTGGATGAGATCCAGGAACAGGATGCTGAATTTCTGTGGGTGAGGGCAGGCTAGATGAGAGAAGTGAAGAGCTGCCAGCAGACAAGGAGAGCATTCCCACCAAGTGTTCCCATAAGGATTTTAGAATTGCAACAAAAGGAAAATAACACACTTGCTATGGTTTTTAATAACCTGGAATAAAATCCAAAATAAATCAACTATGCTATCCAAAATGTACAATATTATGAATTCTAAGAAAACTGGAATTGATTCCAATGTAGGGGGAAATGGGAATATGGAGGTATCCTGAATATCACCATATGGTGCACAAAAACAAACTGTTAGTAACTCAACACATACACAAAGAGATATACAGCATGATAACTTCTTTTACTTACTCTTAGAAAATCACCAGCTATTACTGACTGTAAAAGTGCTGCAAAGACATAAGGAGATATTATTAATAATCATGTTTATTTCTGACAAAAGAGGCATGTATTCCCTTGATTATGTTAACTGAATATATTCTGCAGGCTGATATCCTAGAGACATGATCTTCCAAGGATTTTTTAGCAGTGCATTCTGAGGCTTATATTAGTTTGTGTTTAAATTAACTGATTTGTTTGATTTGAGTTCAGCAGCACTCTTTGTAAGGCAATACAGGTGGTCTTCAACTTATGACCACCATTGAGCCAAAAATTTCAGTTGTTAAGTGAGATATTTGTTAAGTGAATCACTGCAGTTGATAAATTAGAACACCGTTGTTCAGTGAATCTGGCTTCCCATTGACTTTGCTTGTCAGAAGGCCGCAAAAGGGGATTACGTGACATAAACATGAACCAGTTGCCAAACGTCTGAATTTTGATCTTGTGACCATGGGGATGCTGCAAAGGTCGTAAGTGTGAAAAATGCTCATAAGTCACATGTTTCAGAACAGTTGTAACTTTGAACAGTCACTAAGTGGACTGTTGCAAGTCAAGAACTACTTTTAGGCTCCTGAACATAAGCTGAGCATAGAAAGAATACTTTATAAGTAAAAGTAATTATCAATAATATAGTTACCCTGGATGCAGAGTATGGGGCTCAGCTATCAGTGAGTGGTAATAGACATTCACTGTATTTGAAATAAAAGCTAGATTTTTTTTTTTAAAAAAATAGGAAGATAATAAGATCTCACCTCTCTCCCCCTCTCCCTTCCCTCCTTCCCTCCCTCTCCCTCTCCCTCTTCCCCCCTCTCTTTCTCATAATTTCTTTTTTTACCATTTGCCCTAGTATTCAAAAAGGGTTAATAGGTGCATTAATTTTGTACACGTGTAAATAACTACACCAATAGAGACATCTGTAGAAAGCTGAAACAGACATTGCAATAACAATAGAATTGTATTGTTGGAAGTAGCCATTTAGACCATCAGATCTAACTTTCACTTAGTGGAGGTTTCCAATTTAGGATTTCTGCCAGAAAGCTGTCCAGCTAGCACTCATCTAAGAACTATATTGTTAAACTATTCTCATTAACAGATTTGTTTTTCTAATATTCAGTGCATTCTGCCTTCCTAACAATGTATTATTCTTATACTCTGGAACAGTGAAGGATAGGTGTTAATATTCTGACATTTTTGAGTACTTGTGCTATCATATCATCTCCAATCTTCCACTCTAAAGACTAAACATGTCTAGTGTCTTTAATTGCTTTTCATAAGATGTTATTTCTAGTTCCCTGATCATCATTATTGGCCTTCTTTGAACCTATTCCAGTTTCTCAATTAATTCAATAAGCAGATTGTAAACCTTGCAGTCTGGGAATTCACTCAAAATGTACAAAGAATCTGGCTGCAATTCTTTGTTATTTCTTCTTAGCAGAAAATGTCAAGTAGATTAAAATTGTGCCAAAGTCTATCCTTCAATTTATCCCAAAAATTTTTTTAGAAGAGATGTCTCTTTTCCTAACCTCAGTGTCAGAGAGAATTATTCAATCTTTTTAGCATTTATTTTCTGTTTTTTTCCTAGTGTCTTATTGCCAAAACTACTATTGCGTACTTTTGTTTCATTTTCCCTATTATTCTGCAAACTTCCCAACTGCCTTGCTAAAAAACAATTATGAACATCCTCATGATGTCCTTCTTTATGACTAAATGAAGGCTGAAATGTTGGAGAAATAAGTTATTCACTTATGCACTATTAACCACTTCATCAAATAATAATAGTATATGTAGTATACATAGTATATATATACCATAAGAATTTTACTGAAGTATTTTTCTACTTTGAGCAATCATTAAAACATGTTCTTCATTAAATTATAATAGTAGGAAATGCAGAGAAAAATCCATTATTATAACAGATTAATTAGAAGAGTAAAACCAGAGATAAGAATTCAGTGCTAAAAATCTACACACTCTCATCTATAAATTCTACACACATTCCTTTTTTTAAAACAAACTTTACTGATTATACAACTAAAATGTCAAGCAAACATACACAACACACAGAAAGAAAAAGAAAAAGAAAAAACAATTTTAAAAAAACCCTAGCAATTCTATTATCGACAGTCTATGGTTCCTTGTTTGTTATCAATATTGGTGACATATTTACAAATACATCTTATTGTGAGTATATGATTACTATCTCTTTTACATTTTATGTTGTTTACTAATATATTTTCTATTTTTGTTCTATCCAGTCATACCAGCATTCCCAGCTTCCACAGTATAATATTCTGATGTTTCTTTTTCCTTAAGTGCTAAGGTTAACTTATCTATCTCTGCATAGGCTGTTATTTTCTGAATGACCATTTCTTCTGTTGGAATATCTGCTTGTTTCCAACACTGTGCAAAGGTTTTTCTGGCTGCAATATAAATGTGCGGTATTATATATTTGACTTTTTTAGAAATTTGTCTATTAAATATCCCCAGTAAGAAGAATTCTGGTTTTAATTCAATTTGATCCGCTTTTATTTCCTCTAACCATTTTTTTATTCTGGGCCAGTATCTTTGGGCTTCAGTGCAAGACCACCACATGTGAAAGAATGTTCCGTGTTTCTTTTTACATTTCCAGAAATTCAGATTCATGTTAGGAGACATTTTCGCTATTCTCAAGGGCGAGGGATGCCATCTATAAAACATTTTATAGGCATTTTCTTTATATGTTGCTGATTTTGTAATTTTATTATTCCTTGTCCAGACCTTTTCCCATTCTATGTGATGGTACGTCCTATGTTTCTATTCCAAGCTATCATGTTGCCTTTAACTACTTCCTCTTCTAATTCTATCTCTAATAAATAATTATAAAATTTAGTTTAAAATTTTTTAACTGGGCCTAATAGGATTTTATCTAATTGTTGTAGCTTAGCATAAATTCCAATTTTTTTCTTGTCCTGGCTATTTTGAATCTGCAGGTAAGCTCACCGGTCTACTTGTAGCCCTTGTTCTTGGAGATCTTGCCATGATTTTAAAGTTCCTTGCGCATCAAGAAGGTCTTTGTATTTTATCATTTTATTAAGATCTAGATTATTTGGATGTATCATCGCCTCCATCGTTGAGATCAATGTGGGGATTTTTAAATATTTTTATTTTATTCCAATTAGCCAATAAGGAATCTCTAATTATATGTCTGTGGAAATAATTCTGTTTAATTTTTCCAGTGTCCCATAAAAATGTGTGCCACCCCCTCTGTAAATCATGGCCTTCTAGAAATATTTTTTTTTTATTCAACAAGTTAACCTACTCTTTCAACCAAAGTAAGGAGGCTGCATTATTGTATAATTCCCAATTTGGGAGTGCCATACCTCCCCTGCTCTTCATATCTTTCATTGCCTTTAGGTTTATCCTTGGTTTTTCCCTTGCTAAATAAATTTGATGATTATCTTGTTCAGTTCCATGAAGTAATTTTTATGTATTTTTATTGGTATTGTTTGGAATAAGTAAATAAATTTGGGCAGAATGTTCATTTTTATAGTGGCAATCCTCCCTAATAAGGAGATTTGTAATTTAACCCATGTCTCTAAATCTTTTTTGACTTGTTGTAATAATTTATTATAATTATTTTCCATTAGGGTTTTGCTTTGAGCCATCAACCAAATTCCTAAGTATTTAACTTTTTTTACTATTTGTAATCCCATTATCCTTTCCAATTCTAATTTTTGTTTTTCTGTTAAATTTTTAGCTATTAATTTCATTTTTCCCTATATATTTTAAGTCCTGCAACTTTCCCAAATTGATCTAATTCTTTCAAGAGTTCTTGACCTGTTTCAATTGGTTCCTCTATGAAAAAAGCCATATCATCTGCAAATGACTGGAGTTTATATTCTTCTTTCATAATTTTTAGTCCTTTTATTCCTGGGTTCTGTCTAATTCGTGTAAGCAATGTTTCCAAAGATAATATGAAGAGCAGAGGAGATAGTGGACATCCCTGCTTAACTCCTTTCTCTATTTTTATTGCGCGTGTGTACTCTCCATTAATTATAATATTTGCCTTTTGTGAATCATAAATTGTAGTCACAATGTTTTCACATTTAGTGCCTAAATTCATATTGTAAATCTGTTGGATTAGGAATTGCCAATTTAGATTACCAAAGGCCTTCTGTGCATCCAAGAATACAAGGGCTATTTGTTTTTCCAGATGGGCTTCGTAATATTCCAAAACATTTAGTATTATTCTTAAATTATTCCTGATTTGTCTATTGGGAAGAAAACCGTTTTGATCTTTATGTATATATTCATTCAATATTTTTAATCTATTTGCTATAATTGTGGTAAATATTTTATAATCAGTATTTAACAGTGAAATTGGTCTATAATTTTTATAAGTCATAAGTCTGAATCTTCTTTCGGAATCAACAATATCAGTGTCTCCTTCCATGAATCCAGCAATTCTTGCTGCAAGTAGGACCTCATTATATACTTCCACAATGAGAGGTCCTATTGGTTCTCCTATTTTCTTATACAGTTCCACTGGTATCCCATCAGGTCCTGGGGTTTTATTGTTCTTTTGGTTTTCTATTGCTATTTTTAACTCAGGCCACGTAATGTCTCTAGTTAACATTTCCTTCATCTCCTCCTTGATTATTTTATCTTTAGTAATACCCAAATAGTTTCTTATCATGTCCTCATTTACCTCTTTCTTTTTATAAAGATCTTCAAAGAATTTACATGCAATTTCTTTTTTCTGTTCTATTCCTTGTTGGACATCCCCATTTTCATCTATTAATTGGTAGATCAATCTTTTTTGTTTTCCTTTTTTAAATTTGTAGGCCAACCATCTTCCTGGTTTATTGGCCTGTTCAAAGAATATCTGTCTAGCTGTATTCAACTTTAAAACCATTCCTCCTTGTTCGACTGAGTTTAATTAATGTTTAGTAATTATCATCTGTTTTTTCAATTTACAATCTTTTGGGGTGTTCTGTAGTTGAATTTCTAATTTTTTTATTCTTTGTTCCAA